AGAAGCCGGTAATCCAACCCATAATCTGTCACCAAATAAAATCCTGACTGGGGCTAGAGAGGGCTTCCACATGCTTCTTCAGCATTAGTGAAGTATCGATATTGTGGTATTATTGCACTGGTCTATTTAAAAAAACTTCCCTGTTCTCCGAGGATAAAGTCTCAGAGGGACGGAGACATGACAAGAAAGAGCAGAGTGAAGAAGTGCAGCTGCTAACCCTGACTTCACAGGTGACCCAGCGATCACAACAGCATCTGGTTGAATTACTTAACACTGCCGCCCAACAGACATGTAATCCGGGATAATGCCCTTTTGCTGAGTGCTCCAATCTGGATAAATTCATCCCAGAGGAATGGGATCCAACAGCAGAGACTCGGAAAGAGAGGAGATGAGGGCCTTGGGGTTTTGATTGGTTGGTACTAAAGAAAACTGGGAAGAGCGTCTAGATAGATAATGAGGCCCAACAGTAAACAGCTTGATTTTGTTGACAGACTGACTGATGGCATGAGAGGAGCAGATCATTGCCTGGTTTTCCAAGAAGACTCTGAACTAATCATTTTCCCTTCCCTGGCTGACCTGAATCCTGGCAGACTGAAAATGAGGTTTTCATCCAGACCATAGTCACTGGATAAACGACACTTAGGTTTCACATTTTAATATTTGTAAACATGTATGTCAATATAATATTATCTTAATATATTTTTTTCATTTCTCTATTCGAACAACAATCAACAAAACTCTGTTTTTAATCTTTTTTCCTTCTTTCTTTCTTAGAAATAGCATCTCTCTTTAATGCCAAAAGTAATTCCTAACATTGAAGCATTACAATTTCCAGCTGTCCAGCAGCAGCCTCTTAGATTATTTATTCATATGTTTACTTATTACCATAAATATCCAACAGGGCACTCGGCTCAGAGGGATTACAGTGGGCTTAATCTATCGTGGCATAGAAATGAGCAGGAGTCACAGTGGATGAGGTGACTTAAGCTGGCTAGCCTTAATGGGACATGCAACACAAACAAGGCAACAGACTGCATGCCACTGGGCTCCATCATGAACTGGTGACATCATCCGTCACTCACTACATGACTGTCACGGTCAGTGGAAAAGTCATATGACCTGGACAAGGCAAGGACGTGCTTGCGACTCGTACCATGCATTTTAGTAATCCTGTACCGTTTCAAAATACAGACAATGCTCACGACCAGTACAGGGGGCTCTTGTTATATTTCCACTGAACATATGACTTCTAGAACAGCATGTTGGAAAATTTACACCGTTTTTAGCATTCCAATAGAACTGGGGTAAAATAATTAATTACCTCTGAGTTATTATAGTCATAATCCATGCATTAGACAGCAGAGTGTGTTGCTTACAAATAACTATTCATAATAATGAGGCTGAAAATTGGTATTTCTGTTTGAGTAGTGTTGTGCAGAGTCATGAGCTGTATTTCTTCCCCTCTTTCCCTCCCCTCTCTGAAGAAGCAAGAGTGATTTCCCATCTATAAAAAATCCACATATCCAAACATGACATAGAAAAGACATTTAATTATACTTTGGTGGAGAAATATGTATCAAAGCCTGCCGCCCATGAAAAGCGGATTTAGAGTCGTCAGACAGCAGTTAATAGACAGTAGTAAATGAAAAAAGGGGCTGTTGAGGGGGGGTACTAAGACGTGCTTTCCAGGACTAAGAAACGGCTTAGTCTGGCTTGGTGGCAAAATCAGGAGTTCCAACACCAGATATATTTAAGTGGTGGGAGATAATGAAGGTGACGGGGGTGGGCAGCAGATTTTAAGGAGATTTTAAGATTGGGATTTTCATTCCTGTGCAGCAGCAACACCCCTAGTGGCTAAAACCCACATTAAAGATACCCTAACAGAAGACAAAAGATTAGACACTTTGTATGTTGATGTCACATTGTGAAGAGAAAGGAAATTACATGAAAAAGGGCAGGGAAATACAGGCAATGAGAGGGATTTAAAAAAAAGGCAATGTTTAGTTTTTCTTTTGGTCATTTTTTTCAGAGTCTAGCACATTCATTAGGAGGAACTGCCCCTTTCCAACATATTCAGCTTTTGCCCTACACAGACAATCAATCACCCAAAGTAAGAGGGAAAAAATTCAAATAAACACAAGGAGTCAAAGAAGGACACTCAGTGAGTACATGACAGGGAAATGTGCCACTGCAAGGTGAGGAGTGAAATCGCAAACAGGCTGAAGAATGTGAGAGATGCTATACGGTGGATTAGACGGCAGGAGAAATGAGGAGCGGGGAGGTGGTATGAAGGGATGGACTAGGGCCTGGAAGAGTTTGGCCTGAGGTGAATGTGTTCCTGGAGACTGTCTCCCAGATTTCTGACTGGAGCTATGTCATCTGTCACTGGCTGAAGAGGTGACAGCGAAAGAAAAGGTGCCCTAGATGCGATAACAGTGCAGTCAGGAATGAGAGCAGCTCACAACAGCTTTCCCTCTCTCCTTATTCTCCCCCTCTCCGTCTTGTTTGCTTTGGACCATTTACTTCTCAAAGTTGAGAGAGAGAGAGAGAGAGAGAGAGAGAAAAGGAAAAACTGCTCAGTGCCACTCGTTTTGGACTGACTCCTCTCTCTCTCTTGCTCTCTTTCTCGCTGTCTCACAGAATAGCTGCGTCGAAGTGTATGCTTGCAATGGCCACAACTCCCCACTGTCCCCCATGTTCATAAAAACAAGATTGTTTTTCGCAGCTTTCTGCTGACACCGGCTCGACACATAAACAGAGCCGTAATTTGTACAACAACAGTAAGCTTCAGGGAAGCACTTTTTTCTCCCAAGAGGCATGAATAGAGAAGGTAGGCTGTTATCCCCCGTTTACCTGGCAGGGAAAGTGGTATTTTATATTATGGTAATAGCCAACTGTGCTGAAATGCACAATCCCATCTCATTCCAGTTGTAGCAATCGTCTCATTCCAATTGGTATATATGAGATTTGGTGCTAGTTGTTCCCCACAACTGGGGCTAAACCTGCGATGATGGGAATGAAAATGTTGAGATTTAGGAACAAAACAAAACGAGATCTTCTAATGTTCAGTGTTGAATGTCTTCCACAGCTTTAGTTTTATCTACACCAGACATGGAAATCAAGTACAGTCAGAATATACTGCTTAAGTCAACTGCAGATAAAATACTTAGCAGATGCATAACAAAGTGGGAGATACTAATGAACGATCATGTATTTCTACATCACAATAAGCACAGATGGCACAGAAACACTTATGGAATCAGGGGAAAAGAATACAGCAAAGCAGCACAATCAGGAATAGCATCGTCTACGGTGTTTGATGGACCACAACTTTCCATTCCCAAAGCCAAGAGAGAGAAAGACAGAGAGAGAGAGAGAGAGAGCTTCCACTGCTCTAACTGCCCGTTGTTTCAATTTACACAACTAGCGCTACCGTATCCCGAGACATATGCTGTCGTGAAGAGCACAAACCATAAAGACGCTTCATCTGCAAAAGCTCTACCCCCTGTTAAAGTGTGAGAGAAGCCGAGAGGGGGCTTAATTGCTCCATCAGTCAGTTTCAAATAGGTCTGTTATGATATCATTATTTTCTATTTGCCCCTACATGAAAAATAAGTCAGCTGAAAAGAAATATAATCACAGCAAATTGCTGCGTTTGACGAGCAGTGCATTTTTTTTCGCCCCCCTATGCTATAGACTATAAATCATAATGTGAAACAGCTGAATTCAGTGCAGAAGAAAATGATCTTGTTTACCAAGTTTCATTTACAGCTGCTGTTTTATCAGCATGTTACCAACTTTGAGCTGTCAGTTTCCGCACAATGTGTCAACAAACAGAGATCTCAGTTTTTTGGGGGGGATTTTTTTGTATTTTTGTTTTTTTGCAGTTTCTGAGTTGTGGTTTAAAACATAAAATAAAATAAAAAGGTCACAATTACAACTCCCCGTGGGAAACAACTAAAGGCACACAGACAGGCATTTGTTCAGCCACTTGCCTCTTTAGAATACAGCCCAATGTGACGGGGGTCAAACCACTGTAAAGAGGTGGTGAGTTATTGGCTCTTGCCCCCTGTAGTATAAACCAGCACGCTCATTAACGGGGAGGCATGATGCTGCAAACCTTCCAAGCTGACTGTCTGATTCAGCTCTGTGTGTCTCTGCATCTCCCAGCGCCAGAGGTGTTACACAGTGTCAGACTTGTGCACTACTTTACTCACTTCTATTGTTTTCCAAAGACAACCACCTGGTGGCAAGCAGGGGAAACAACTAATCCATCCTCATTCTGTCCACAAACAGACTGTCTAGGAATAAAAATAACAACAGCAGAAACTGTCCAAAGGGCTGGGGTTGCCAAGCTATCCACATGGGTCTGCCTTCTGAAGCACTTTACCGTTAACTTTCCTCTCTCTCTACATTCTTTTCACCAAGACCCCCTCCTCCCTTTAGCTGAAGTCAATGTGGAAAGGGCTGTCAGTTCAAAACAATGTGACTCAGGAGTGAACGCTCGACTGAACTGGACTGGGTTTAGGGGGCTTTGTTTGTGTGTGTCTGCGTGTGTGACAGGAATAACAAGCCCGCATAGGAAGTATTTAACTTGTCTTGCCTGAACAGCTATGAGCAACTGACGGAGAAAAGTGAAAACTGAACTATTTAACCTCCACTACAGTCATACAGACTTTGTTTTTTTTTTTCCCCTTCTTCTTCTTTTTTCTCTCTCTCGCTTTTAATTTTCTCCTTTCTCATTCTGCATCAGACATCACAGCGCACACGGGAGCGCTATATCAGACACAGTTTTTGTTTTTTGTTTTTTAAAAAGGAAGAAAGAAAAGCACGCAGATGGCACAGCAACAAGCGCAAGAAAGACGTCGCAGCAGCAAGACATGGATATGGAGACACAGTTCTCAGCCAGCCAGTCACACACAGACACACACACAGCAATCATGAGAACGAGAGATGTGATGAATTAGCAACTTTAACGTGAAAAAAAAAAAAAAACTTACCATGTCCGGAGATCCACGGGAGCAGCAGAAGGACCCAGAGGATCATGACTGCGGAGTGGAGAGGGGCAAAACCTACAAAAAACAGTAGGCGAGTGTGAAATTGAAGTTGGCAGGCACAAACACATGCACGAGATGAGACAGTGCTCCTCTGTGCTGCTGGGGGGTGGTGGGGGGGGGGATGCTACAGTCCCTCAGTGGAGTCTTGTTTTACCAGAGGAAAGCTGGTTGTCTGTCTTCTGTCCTCCTCTTCTTCTGGTCCTTCTTCTTCTCTCTCCCTCTCCTGTCTCTCTGTGTCTTTTCCCTCTGTGTGTCACTCTTGAGTGTAGCCGGTTGTCAGCTCTGCCTTTGCGCGCTCTCTTTGTGGTGTGAGCTTGTAGACTTTCTGTGTCTTCGCCGCTGACTCTGAGAATACACACTCGCTCACTCTGCCTCTGTCGCTCGCACGGTTTCTCTTTGCCCATCCATTCTGAGTGCCTTCAGCCCTCACTTGCCCGCTCTCTCTCTCTCTCTCTCTCTCTCTCTCGCTCGCTCTCTCTCTGTTGCTCTACCACAGCAGACCCTGTCAGGGGATAGAGCTCCACTACTAGACTCCTCCCTCCATCGCTCTCTCTCTCAGCCTGGCTGTCTGGGTGGCTGTGTGCCTGAGTGAGAGTCTGGGAGGCTTGGGTCTTCACTCTGGGAACCAGAGCTGCCATGGGAGAGGGTGCAGCTCCAATTAGAATGAGAATAGGAGGAGATCTCTGTAGCTACAAATTATGCAGACATTCACAAACAAAAACTGCACTTTCAGACCCTCCTCCCTGTTAAGACCTTTGTCCTTTTGTACAACCCTTTTTTGGATTCTTTAGAAGTGGATTTTGGAATCTGTAGCTTTTTCTCTGTGAATGAATGAAGACCAGATTAACATTCACCACCAAAGCCGTATGATTCATTAGTATCCAGTTTTTATTAAGGGGGAATTAAATTCATACTCACTCATTCAAGGAGATATGATGCAAGGCACCATAAAATAGCCAAATGCACTGCATGCTTACTGACAAGTTCTCCTAGTTATGCATGTTAAATATTTAATAAAGGGGAATTTTTTTCATACAGGGCAAGCAAGGTTCATGTGTAACAGTATTCCACATCTTGTACTTGACTTTGTTGCTGTTCAGAAAACCATTTTAATATCCACCGGGTCTCCTCCGAGTACTCTGGCTTCTAAATTGTGTTTCTAAATTGCCTATAGATGTGAATGCGATGTGAACGGTTGTGTGTCTCCGTGTTAGCCCTGTGACCAGTCCAGGGTGTACTCCGTCTCTCACCTTATAATAGCTGGGACCCTCCCAGCCAGTCACATCAGATGTCTGCCCACTCTGAGCCTTGTTCTGTTGGAGTTTTCTTCTTGTTAAAAGGGCGTTTTTCTTTCCCACTCTCGCCAAGTGCTTACTCATTGGTGGTTGTTTGAATATCTGGGTTTTCTCTGTATTATTGTAGGGTTTTTACCTTACAATATAAAGCACCTTGAGGCGCCTGTTGTTGTGATTTGGCACTATATAAATTAAACTGAAATGAAAGGTGGGATATACCAGTTTCTACAAATGTTTTTGCTTAACATGTAGCTTGCCATCACCAGTGTGTGTGAATGGGTGGATGACTGAATGTAGTGTAAAGCGCTTTTTGGTCCTTAGGGACTAAGTAAAGCGCTATACAAATACAGGCCTTTTACCATTTACCATTTAACATGGAGTTAACAGGGGACAACAGTGTCTATAGATATAAAATGTCTTAGTCGGTTGTGTTCTCTCTTCGTGTGACAATATAGTACAGCTCTACAATTTTCATCAGAAAGTTTACACATTATTTTTTCATTTAAACATTTTAAGGTAAATAGTTTTCAGCGTCATGAACATCTCCATTACTCCAGAGATGTTTTCACATGGGAACTCTTGAAACTCGAAAATGCCAGAGAGTCATTTCAGGACATTGTCCGGCTGCTGGCCTTTCTCACACGTGGCTCATGACCTCTTTAAAGGGAGAGAGCTGACAGACTAACAGCAGCATACATGACACCAACGTGTTGGCAATGATTTCACTCAACCATTGCCAACACTTACATATGGATATTAAATTGACTTAGTGCAATAAAGATAGAATAAAAATTAAAAACTGTTTCATGTGCAATCCAAATGACTCTGGTGTTTGCAGTTTTGTATGTGACGAATTCTTGCATAAGACTGGTAATCTTGAGAAAATGTTAGGAACAAATATATGAAATGAGTCATGACTCAAATTATTGAATCGCTTTTTTTGTTTACAGCATTGCAACCCCATGTGTGCACTGCCGCATTTTTATAAACTTGGCACGACTGTCAGCTTACCAACTAAAAATAAAGAAAACAAACCCTTTGTCTGGGACCGGGTCAGGTCTTTATCAAAAATAGTAACCTGTCAAAGCAGTTAGCTAGTTGTGAACCATCTAGTCATACAAATGGTTGTTTTGACTGTGCAATTTATCAGCCTTGTTCCTGCTTTTAATTCAGTTTAAATTCCCAGCACGGTAAGTTGTTAATCCACAGCTACTGTAATTAACGCTGTACAAGTCTGAGTACTGCTCGGTGTCTGATATTTAAAACAGAACCTTTTTATATGTCCAGATAATGAATAAGGGTGGGAAAGGAGGAGAGAGGAAAAAATGGATAATTGCCAGAAAAGAAACATGAAACTAATAAAGGAAAATGATCAGTTTTAAAAGACAAAAACTTTTCTTCCTTTCTTTCTTTCTTTCTTATAATGCTGTAACACTGATATGGATTTAAATACCATTTCTCCAGTGTCATCTGCAAGTAAGCAAGATCTGTAAATAATTCACATACATACTGGATAAACTATATTGCCTTTTAGAATTTTTTATTGGATATTAAGAGATTGACAGGCTGCCTTTGTTTGTTAGAGATAACTGTTTGAGGTAGAAAGAAGTGGTATTTAAAAGTAGAATAGAAGGCAGATCTTTCAGCTTTCAAGTCCCTCGTATATGGAACTTCCAACTCTCCCAGTTTGGATTCGGGACACAGATACCCTCTCTACCATTAAGATTAGACTTAAAACGAAGCATAAAGTTGGCTATGCCGAAGGTTTCTCCCTGTTAAAACTGAGCTTTTCCTCCCCACAGTGGCCAAGTGTTTGCTCGTGTAGGGGTGATCTGATTGTTAGGGTTTTCTTTGTATTGTTATAGGGTCTTTACCTTACAATATTAAGGACCTGACAGGTGACTGTTAATGTGATTTGGTGCTATATAAATAAAACCGAATTGAATTGAATAGAATAGAAAACCATCAGCCCACGTCTTTATCATCTCAGCCTGTGATTCTATCATTGAGGTGATGTAGGTTTTATGAATCCTGTGTTTAACTATTAGACCCTGGATGATTTATTGAAAACACAATTTATATGAATCGAGTTGGCACATTATAAATTGTATATCCTATATTTTTTTCTTATTAGTAATGACTGATATTAAAATGCATACTACAGGGATGGACTCCACATGAGTACGAGAAATGCTTAATACATTTGGATCAGAGCTCTTGTAATGACACAGTAAGAACTGTATGAGGGCCTAGTCTATTTTATATCAATTTAATCCATCCTTCTGACCTCCTAATCTAATCAAAGGGCCAGCAGATGACAGGTGGTCTTTTCATCAGTGCAACTAACAGCTACACACAAAAACAACCCCTCTGCGGCCCGAATCAGAGGATAACAGATTTGCATTCCGCCTAAGAACATGATGAGTAGGGGCAAAGAATAACAATGGAGCAATGGGGGTAAAGGAGGTAAACAGGCAAATACATTTGTACTTCCAGTGCTCACAATCCTCCATTTTGTAGGACAAACCTTAACCTGGATTATTTTTGTATAGGACGATGGAGGGCAGACGTAATATAGCTAAACAAATTACAAAGACTGTAAATGAGATTATGACTATGACTTCATTTTGAGGTAGGAACATTTCCTTTCTTTATTTTTTATTTAGCCAAGTGCTACAGCTTGTGTCATTCACATCCAAAATTCTCAAGTAGTTAAAAGCAGACCAGAAAAGCCCCCCTGCCCTCTTACAGACAAAACAAAACAAAACAAAAATCAACATGCTTTGTTTTGTGACGTCCCTGCACAGAGCTGATGCATGCGGAGATGTGATGTCTAGTGAAGGGCTCTTACGCTCTTAAACCCACAGTGCACCCACAGGGGGCATAATCTTAAAAGACTCTGGAGAGAGGGAAGTCTTTTTTTCTCTGGGTTTAAGAGTCTCTTTATATCAGCTATGACCATAATCCCCAGTCAAAAGGACAAGCTTGAAAGGAACTGAAAGTGAGCTGAAACAAAGTATAACATTAATCGCATGTTGCTGCCTGTAAATCACCCACATTCTTAATTTCAGGTCATCTTCATCATATAGCAGTCAAGGTCAATCTGTCCTCAAGAAATAATGCAGTTTATGTGTGGGTCATATGTAGTCATGAGGAAATAATCTGTGTGACTGATGGGTGTCATGTGGGCAATCTATTAAAGGGTATTGCTTCCTTCAGCTGGAGCACAGTCACCACACGTGTTAAAAATCCAGTCTGGGCCCAAACATTTGTGTCCACTTGATCGAGCTGACTGACATCAAACGGGCTTTTTCTCCGTTGGAGAACGATCTGTCCAATGAGTGCCACAGGAGGACTTACCATTAGCCCATCAGGCCCATGGGCGGGGACTAAGGCCATTGTCGTGCTGTTGTAAATGATTGTCAAGTGGTGTGCTGCCACATTGATATTTTAAATTGCCGGCGCTCACTTGTTTTCAGCACACAGAGTCGTTCCCGCTGAACAACAAATGGAGAAACACGCTGAACCGCTTTTACTTTGCTCTGCTGAGCTCCAGCAGGGTAACACATCGGCGATGACTTCAAATAACCTTAGATTCAGGAGGATAGTTTGTCCTCTAGTAACTGTTTAATGGCATTTGGATCTCTGCGCTAAAAATATTTGTAATTAAAGGAGTTCTGCACCTCTATTACACTCTTGGAGTCGCAATAGGCAGTTCAGAGAAAATATGAAAATCCATATAGCTAATTCTAGCAGTAGATAATGCCTCAAGCTTTTAGTGTACGGCAGAGACGATGAGCAGACCATACAAAACTCTGTCAAACTCACTTATTTGTAACACTGCTCCTGCATTTTTCTTTTCTTCTTTCAAATTTAGTCTTTGTCTCAGTTTAGCAGATTTTACACAGATGTCAACAGTGCCACAAAGCAGTTTAAAAGCTTCAAGGACTTCAAAATGTTTATATACTGCGTTAGGCTACCCAACTCCCATTATTCTGATATTCAAAATGAGTGGATGTTTTTTCTTTTACATTTCATGGCCTCTTTGATAACCTGTAAAACAGGAATCAATGCAGCTATGTAGATGCCATTTTACAACTGTGGTATGGTTTAAAATAACACAAAGCCTCAGTCTTAATAAAATA